AGGAAGAAAAACTTGTTAACAATGGCATTTCTTTGATTGACTGTCGAGTTGTATGTGGTGTTTGACGCAAGGTGTAGTTCTTACCTCTGGCAAATCATGCTATATTTGTTAAGAGCAGCTGTTTGTGACAGAGACATTCGACATGTTTTAGCTTAACAGCCCTTAAGAGATGATAATCAATTCTTTGTGAAGTTGCTAAGTGCGGGGGCTATGGCAAATATTTGCCTGTTCATTGTTAGACCATTTCTTGCAAGAGTTACTGCTTTCATTAATATATAAAAAGAAGAAGGTGTTTTTTCTCTTGTTTCGTTTTTGAGAATTATTGCGGCTTATAAACCCCAGATTGAACTAAAGAATCTTTTTGCTTGTTATGACATTTAAAAATTTATTTAAGGCTTCCAATATAGGAGAGATAGTACCATGAATCTCGAGAATTACTCAGGAATGAGAAATTCTCTTCCACATTTGGAGAGTCAAATATTGCCAACACCTTCTAACACTTTAGAATACAACTTCTCAAATTCAAAATCTACTCTTAAGGTGATCATCCAGCCAAGACACGCCAATTTCGCCACGTGTGGTTTGTATGTGGTTTGAAACCCCGGTGAAACACTGGAAGGGCGCGCTATCATAAACTGATCACAAGAACTCTTCGAATTGCCAATTTCAACAGTACCTTTAGTCATTCATTCATTGCTAGTGCTGCATTTAGGCACCAACACCTCACAAACCTCAGCAGACTTAACCTCACTAATCTTTTCATACTTAAATAAAGCGTTTCACCGCTGACCAAACTGGTCCTTAATTAGCCTCTCTTCCACACCTGCGTTAAGTAAGCTGGAAGCACAAGTTACTCTTAGACAAACCACCATGACAGTGCATTTTTTCGTAACAACAAACTTTCCGACAACGTGTGAAAAATTCGTGAATATTTCCATTTTCTTTTATTCCTGAGGCGCGATTGAGACGCTATTTAAATAATTGTGCATCAGGTTTCATCAGGGTTTTCAAGCACTCGAAAACAATGCTTCCATCAGTTTTTTCGTGCTTGGAAACCCTGATGAAACCTTACACTCGTTTTTGAAATAGTACTTCAAACGTATACAGCCGTGGTGGATTGTAGAATCTATAATAACGAAAGAGAAAAGGAAAATGAATGAAATTACAGTACTTATGTCATTTTTTTTTTCTTATCAAAACCGTGATCGCTTTTAAATCAAAGTTTTCCAAAGTTGTCGCGATATGCAAAGCCGCTCTTGATTTTGGATGATGTGGCAAACAGGCATTTGTTATTACGTTCCAAAATGAAAACAAAAAACAAAAAAAAAAACGGAATATAATTAAACACGTTTGGGGGTTCTTTCACTCATATTTAAGAAAGCAGGACGCCCATTGTTATTTTTCTGCCCTACGGTGCGTGCGTTTTATTTCATCATATAAAGGTTCCTCTAACGTTGTTTTTGTCTTAAAGCTGATGAAAATTCTAAGAATATTGACACTCATATAACTTCGAAAAGTTGCAACGTACATTTTTTAACAGATTCTAATTTTTAAAGACAAAAAAACAGCGCATTTTTATTCTTTATGGCCACGCACTGAAAGAACATAAAATTATCATACGGCAACAATAGTAACGTTAATTATGCGATGTTCTATTGTCGACAAAAAGGAAGACAGAGCAGTTTAAAACTATCACCTCTTTGTTAAATGCCGCGCACGCCACCAGAGTTTTCACTGGAAGACTAAAGTGGAAAGACAACCCGCAAATATCACTGATTTTTTTAGTCCAGCGATTTAACTCGGCGTTATTCTTAATTCCTAAGAAGTATTTTCCCGAACGCCAATTCTTTCTTCTATTTTGTTTTACGTTACGACTAAAACTAGCTAGTTTTAAAACTATCACCTCTTTGTTAAAAAGCCGCGCGCCGCCAGTGTTCTCACTGCAAGACTAAATTAGAACATTAACCTTTACAGATCATTTTAAATCCAACCACTTAAGTTGAGCGTTTTTTAATTCCTAAGTGGTATTTTCCCCAACACGAAATTTTCTTCTCTTTTCTTTACGTTACGAGAGTGAAAGCGTGATAGAATTAAGACTAGCGCTTAAGACTAGCGCTTAAGAATAGCGCTTCTTTGATAAGAGAAACAAAACTCTTGACCAAGTGAAACCATCGATAAAAGCTTCATCGTTTTGCGGCGTTGTGCTGCGCGCTATTATCAACTGATGCAAAGTACAGTATAAAGAATTCAGCATTTCCAGGTATCTTGTTTGGGGTTAATAACAATAGTGAATTGTTGCTTTTTTTCCTCTCATCCTCTTGCCGAGTATAGTTCGTGAATGTTGTTAACAACAAAGCTTCCTTATCGTGTTAATAAACTTATAATCAACTGGTTCGCTGATGAAAAAAATATACTGAGAGACCAAGCACAGTGAAGGGCATTTTCTCCCTTGGGTACCCCTGTGTGAACAGCACGCTTATGAGCAACTTTTCCAGCCCCTCTCCCCAAGTGCCGCTAATTTGACACGCCGACAATTTTGCGACGATTTGAAATTCATCTTCGTCGAGTCTCGGCACAATTTCCTCAGCGCAACAAACATCAAAAGGCTTTTGTTTGAACTTGTGAAGTCGAATTTAACCCACAACAATGGCCCATTTCTTGATACGCTCAACGATAAACAGGAACCAGAAATTAATTATTAAGAGCATGATAAATATTGATTATTATGACAGCAACTAAAGTTACGAGAAACGATGACGCATCGCTTTTAGAGGGTTGATCAACGACAAACAGGAACAAGAAATGAATTATTAAGAGCATGATATATATATATTAACTATTGTGACAGCAACTACCGTTTTAAGTGCCAAAGACAGCATCGTTTTCGGAGGGCTTTTTATTCTTCGCTTAAAACTCTGGAGGAAGCGTGCTACATGCTAAAAAAAGGGTAAGCCATTTTTTTTTTTTTTTTTTTTTGACGCTAGCACGTTAAAAATCTGAGAATGAGACACAATTAAAATCATTTGGACATAGTGTAATACTTATTCCTTTCTGAAAAGAGAAGAAAAACATTTTTTTGCGAAAAACTGCGATGAGATGATCCTCTCTCCCGACGTCACCGAAACTTTAGATCCATTATCTTTTTATGCAGTCCTCGCAGCTATGTATTGAGACAAGATGTTGCAATTACTATGATATATCTAATTTCTCTAACTAGCAGAGAAAGGATCTTTCTAGTCGAAGGATTCACGACGTGGGCTTTCTACCACTTTTTTCAAGTAATTTTTTCAAAGAGGATATGTTAATTAAATATGAAAACTGTCTTTATCAAATGTCCAATTTTAAGTTTGCAATGCAGCATAGTAGACGTAAGTCGGGTGTTGCTGCTCGAAACAGAAGACTTTTACATTTTGAAATCTTGGGCAGGGAATAAGAAACGTTTAACTTGTCTTTGTTTTTATGGACTTTCTTCAACTTTCTATGACTTCCTGTGCGACGCAAGGTTTTAGAACACTTTGTTTTTTTGATGTTGCATAAGGGAGAATTCTTCGATGTGTTAGGTCTTAATTTAGTTTAATCATTGCGCGAAAGCATCACATTCGACATTCATATCCTAGCTGTGTACATGAAGTTTGTCACCACGCACATAGCCTTACGGCCTAGCCTGCCACCAGTTGGTAGAACATCCGAAGTACTAATCACAAGGTGGTAGGTTAGACTCCTATTGCGAGCACTCTGAGTTCTTTTTCTCCGAGTATGCCTGTGTCATTCACTCAAATATCATCTTTTAAAAGACTTCGATGTTTCCATGAGCAACCCATTTCGTATACACGGACGAGTCGTAAACATCACCTTGGATCGTGTGTATTTAGTTCAGGAATGTTGATGGTTGAGTTTGCAAAAGTCTTTCTTTTCTCCGAGATTTTGAAGTTTTTTTGTGCTATGAAGCCAATAAAATGACCCAAAAAAATGTGGCAATTGTGCTGGGATTCGTTTTAAGACGTGTAGAGCGTGGGGATAAAGCTTGTCTAAAACCTAAGGCCTTTGCAACTGTATCGAATTTGTAATAGTGTAGTTTGATCGTCCGGGTGAGTGTAGTCCTACTGAAGGACTGTTTTTGGACAGTGATGACTGACGTTTTCACAACCCGAGCGGAAGTCATCATGAGAGTCAAGTGAAAAGTTGTTGTCAGTCGAATGGTCTAATTCCGGTTTGTATAAGTGATTGATCAGAATTACCGTGATGCTATTGGCTGTAGGACCTAGTTGCGTAGGTCGGTCGTGATTGGTCGATTTTTCTTATCAACTTGCCATGACATGAATTAATATTCTCTCCCATAAATCAAACGGTCACGATATGTTTTGCATCGCCAAAATGCCGTAAATCAAAATAACAATGGATCAAGTCTATCAAAAAATATATGAATGCTTACCTCACTCGTTTCATTGTCACCTTTTAATCTTGAGGCCGATCAACATCTCAGCTGCAACTCTGTCTAGGAAGCAACCTTTACAATTCCCAAATAACTGCAAGAGATGTAAAAGTTAAGAATATCAAAGAGGCGGATGAACAAAGGTGTAGCGACTCCGACAGTAGTAATATTTAGTAGACATGTAGTTGACTTACAACCGATTCAGAATGGATTTTTTTATTTCTTTTCCATAAATCGGACGGTCACGATATGTTTTGTATCGCCAAAATACCGCAACTCATAATTCCCAAATAACTGCAAGAGATGTAAAAGTTACGAATATCAAAGAGCCGCGGATGAACAAAGGTGTAGCGACTCCGACAGTAATAACATTTAATAGACATGTAGTTGACTTACAACCGATTCAGAATGGATTTCTTCATTTCTCTTCCGCTTGTTGGTCCTTCCGCCTGTTTTGGGGGGGGCATTTTGTTTGTTTACTTGTTTGTGTTAAATCAATGGGCTAGAAAAAAACGCTCAATGCATATTCCTAAATAACATATACTTTCCAATTTCAGCATCAGTGGCAATGGCGAGGAATTCAAGCCTCCTAATCCTATTGGCCTCTTTGTATCTCATGGACTTCGCTATTGCCAAAATTCCGTGCAAGACAGAAGTTAGCGTACCTGGTATGGCTCTCAAAGGATTCGTCTTTAAAAAGGTCCCAGTAACAGCTCCTCATGTGTGCGATATCACCTGCGAGAGAGAAAAGATATGTCAAAGCTACAATTATGTAATTGGGGAAAAGTCCTGTGAATTGAACTCCCGAACCAAGGAAGCAAGGCCCGATAATTTTCAGCCAGATGATTTACGCTTTTACATGGGACGCATTAGTGGTAAAAGTATGTATCCGGTTTAGTTTATTTTACATACAAATCTTTCTCAGTGAGTTCCCAGTAAGACCTCGCTACTTTCCGAGAGCTGGTGTCCGATTGCTTGGTTATTAAATAGGGTCAGTGTCTTAAAGCAAAATTCGCCTTCCATGCATACACTGATATCAGCTAAACTTCTCAGCTCTTAATTATTCTTATTCCATGTTTATCTTGCCCGGACAAATATATTATCAGATCTAATCTGTTTTGCAACTTCTATTACCCTTAAACCATTAATGAAGTCATGTCTATATATTAGCCCCCCTTAGGATCTATTCCTAAATTACCAGCGTTATCGTGCCAAGAGATAAAATTAAGTGAAGGTAAAGACAGCATCAGTAAAAACTACTGGTTGGATCCAACTGATGTCGGGAGTTCAAAGTTGGTTTACTGCGACATGATTTTAGAAGGTAAGTCAGTATACCAAGAACAGAATTTACACAGCGTTTGGTCTACCTTTGCCCCAGCCTTTTGTGATATGTTTTCACCTTGTCTCAGTGTTTTCTTCGATTCATTTTCAATTAGACATCGATGAATGTAAAGGCAGCAATAACGTTTGTGACGAAAATGCAAACTGCTCCAATACTGTTGGGTTTTATAATTGCACCTGCAAAGAAGGATTTACTGGGGATGGACGCTCGTGCTCAGGTAAACTAGTTACAGACACGCCGAGGTACAATATTGAATTATTTTTTCGCCTAAGAACACTGGAGGTACATTTGAGCTATCTAAAATCGAGTGAGTGAATAACAGACCAATAATACCTAGCATGCTATATCAGTGGACCCTTAGCATTACACAATGCAATTTTAGCAGGAACTACTGACCTACTTTTTTTTAAGCAGCATTACCCATACATGTTTATGCAAGGAGCTGCCATGATCTCCATCCGGTTTGTTTCAGAGCCATCATGTTAGGAGACTAAAAAATAACATTGGAGAAGAGAATATAATATCTAGGTTGCATGTTTCAAAAACAAAAGACGAAAAAATAAAAGTGCAAAATGCATTTACGGTTTCTCAGATATTGACGAGTGTAAAGGAAATCACTCCTGTCACGTGAATGCTAAGTGCAATAACACCCTTGGATCACATATATGTGAATGTCAGCCTGGATATACTGGAAATGGACAAAACTGCAGAGGTGAATTTAATTTCTTCGTTACAATATTTAGAATAGTCCTGCATGACACGTTTGACTACTGCGCCGCACCATTCAGCTGCGTTGCAAGACAATTCGATAATTTATTACTCATAACTCGTTATGATTTAGGCAGCCGTTAAAGTGAACAATTTTAATGACTGATGCATTGTTATTCTCCTCTAAAAAATTAACCTTATCACAATGATTGACAGAAGCATGAAAATAAAATTGCAAGGATCCGATTGGATTGGCAACTCATTCATTCGCGTTATGCCATAACGCGAATGAATGATACAAAAGGACTGAGACTATTAAAGTTTAATAGTCTCAGTCCTTTTGCAATTGTCATTTCACTTTGTAGCCGATCCTTGCTATCATTATTAAAACCTGAGTGATGCCAATAAAAAAAGATAGGTAACACCTTACGATTTAGATGCTGTTGTGCCTTAAGTCTGCCTAGAGCTGTCCTTCCATGCGCTGACTAAGAAAGAAGGGGCTCAGATTCGCATCTTGCTGAATTCATTTGGATCTCCAATATCACTGTTTTAGCCTCTTCTAGTGATGATATTCTACACATTTACTACTTGACCCCTTAGATACAACATTGATTGGCAAGCTGCCAGAATTATGAGACGTTACAATAGATTTTGAACTATTGATTTTAATAACCCAAGTCCTTTTGTAATTTTCAGTTTTGTGTGACAATGGACTCTCTGAGGGATGGTATCGTTTTGTGGGAGCTGCAGGAACAAAAATGCAAACAACACGTGTGTCAGCATACAGATGTGGTACAGACTGGCCAGGCTGGTTGGATGATACTCATCCTACAGTGGACGATGGTGAAGTTCTCCGGAAGGTCTGCTTTAGTGATCGCACTACTGGTTGCAAATACTCAACACATATTTTTGTAAAAAACTGTGGATTCTATTTCATCTACAAACTTCAAAAGACAACTGGTTGTCCCTCACGCTACTGTGGCACAGACTAAATGTGAAGCAGATATACCTGGCGTAGTGAGAGGATTCATAAATCGAACCATAGGTACATGTGTATAAGGTTTTTCACATGTGACGTAGTTTAACTTTCTTCTCTAACCTTGGTGGCAAACAGGTATTTAATTCATTAGAATAATAATTCTCATCAGATAGCTTCTGTCATCGAGGAGAGTTGAAGGATCTTCAAAGTAATCTTCAAGTAAAATCTTGAAACAAAATCTCAAGCTATTTCATGCCTTCTATTTTCTTTTTTTTTTTTTTTAATTCTTCCTTACTATCCTTCTTTAGCGGTAATTATTCACTATGGTTATTTTTTAGCTTAAGTCAGTGGAAAACAAGCAGGCGCTATCTTGCGTTATAGACGTAGAAAAAAAAGTAATGACGGTCAAAATCTGATGTCCTATGAAATTACACAAAGTTAAAATAATTGTGACTCATTATTTTAAAACATCGCAAACATCTCTGACTAATTTGAAATCTTAGTCAAAGATCTTTACGCGATGGCTTCAAAGAGTCCCTATACAGCTTATTTAACTAAGCGCATAAGCACCTCGTTCATTCAACATTATTCAATTTGTGTAGGTAATCAAGCATTTCCAGTGCAATTTGAAAGAAATCAGCGCGAGTAAGTTTTGAAAGGGTAACCAAATTGCATGAACCCGTAGTGCGAGTGCAACTTGCATATTAAGTTTAAAAAAAATTAAAAGTAACTTTTGAAAGTTAACCTGTTTTTCTGAGGTTAATTCTTTCCCACAACATAAAAACGCAAAGAGAAAAATATTCAGAGCTGCAATGTGCAAAAAATAAGTACTTAGAGTAGTACAGGTAAGTTGTTAGGTGTTGTAAACAACTTTTTACACCTTTCAAGAACATCACCAACAAGTTTTCACTGGAATATTGGAGATTGAAATTAAAATCACAGTTTCTCGCAGTGAAATTTTCCTTTTTCATCCTGCAAAAATATTAGTAGAATCCTTTGAAAAATGATGAGCGCGGAAAAGAAACCCACCCCCATAGGCCATTACCTGATATTTCAATATCCTTTGAATCATTTAATGTTCATTTGTCTCTAATTTGCAAGAAGAAACCTGAACACAAAGGAAATGGGGCAAAGCGAGGCGAGTTTATCAACAACGTATCAAAATATAGAAAAATTGTTGCTGGCTTTTCAAAGGAAAGTGGTATGAGCTGGGTCACTTTGTGGCTCCCCTTTTTGAGTGGTGTAAATAGACGGGCATCGTGTATATGTTATATGATTATTTAACAAAAAATGTGTATCACTTTGTAAATACATTTACCTTACACGGATTACTTTTAGCTGAATTTCATAACACGAACACAAGAGTAAATGTTACAGGCAGTGAAGTCCATGGGCCAGAGTAAGTTCTGTGAAAGACTCTTAAAAATTCACTTGATAGCAATCGCGAAAGAGTAGCTCTTACCATTTTTTTAGTGAACTTAATATAGATAACCAGGAAAAAATAACAACAACAAATAGGAAATGGTCGGGAAAATGCATGAAATCAGAACCCAGTGAGGTAAAACCAGAGCAATCAATCAAAAATGGTTTTAACTTTACATCACAATGATTCGATAACAAATGGAGAAAGTTATTGAAAAAGATCGTAACGTAACAAACAGCAATAGGAGAGCAAGATAGTTTTCTTTGGGACTCTCACAATTAACTTAATATTGAACATTTTCCTCTCGTGTAATTTCTGCCTTTGTTATTGCTAAGGGATTTACATTAATTTGCTACCACAGAGGGGGGGGGGTAGGGGGGAGAAGTTCTCAAAAGAACAAAGGGATATATCATTGTTATCTTTAAGAGCTAAGAATAGTGATGGATACCTCTTGCTTCTCTTGTAATTTCCACCTTTGTTTATGCAAAGGGGATATGCGTTAATTTACTACCCAAGGAAGGGGGGGGGGGGGCGGGGTAAGCTCTTTATATAAAAACTAATGGATAAATTACTGTTATCTTTAGGTGTAAGGATAGTAATAGATACCCCCTGCACTGTTGTGCATAAAATGTTCTGAGAAAAATCATATTCACTGGTGAATGAGATATGAGGTTACTGATAAAATGCGTAAACGCACTGGACGTTTAACTTCGTACGGTTGAAATATTTTTTCCATAAATGTAAACAGTCGGATCTGTCGCTGAATAAAGCCTGGTAATAAAACTGTTAGACGTAATATTGCCCATCGTCTTCCATTGCTGAATTGCATTATTTATCCTGTCGATGTCATCTGTTCGGCAGAAGGAACAGAATAACGTTTTTGTACACCACTAATGTTAGTACATATGCTGGCGTTACTCTAAAAACAAAACATAACCAACAAAATCAAACAATCAAAACACAGAAAAACCAACAATGAACGTATTAACAGAGATTATGGTTTCTGAATATCTTCTACAGCGCTCCTTAGCAGGATCTCCGAAACTCGGGGAAAAAAAATGCAAAAACTTATACTAACACGTCAAATGCAGCACAAAAACTTGTGATTAGTATATTAATTATTTCACAGTATTCGATCGTAAAACAGATGAAAACAATGATATGACACTTATTATATAAAACTAACTTCGAGTTTTATAGTCTCTTAATGTATCTATAGCCTGTCTATTCTTCCCAGTTTCTCACAGACTGGAATGTACAAATAAGTTCAAACACCTTATGGGGGTAACCCGTCTTTAAGACCCTTTTCTTTACAAGGTAATTGGAAGATCTTCCAATTCCATCACACGACCAGAAGGCAGAGATCCCACGAGACTTTAAAGCGTTGATGCACCCATACGAAATGCACTCGAACAAGAGGCACTAAATCCACACCAAAGTAATAGGTAGAACATAAACAATGATAACCATGTTTTTAATACATTGTCTCACAAGACCAAGATAAGCGAGAGAGCAACTGCGATATTCCAAAAAACACATCAAAGTTGTCACTGGTCAAGGATAGCGGAAGCTAGTCTGTTTCCTTGAAGAACTGGTTTGTTGTAATATTTACGAAAGGTCTCTGTAGACTTCCAGCCTACCTTTGCCATGATCTCATGGACAGGGACGTCTTTTTCATTTGCTTTGGAAACAGATGCTGACCTAGTGCTGTGTGCCGTGAACACCTTAGTATCAATACCGCAAAGTCTAAGAGTTTCCTTAGTCCACCTGGAAATCGTGTCCCTAGATACAGGCTAATAGGGCCTAACATAACTAATAAACAATTTTGTTTCGTTATAACACAAATCCTTGGTCTTGTTAATGTATGCTTTCAAACAAGACAAAGGGCAAATTGTACTGTCTGGCTCATAGGCAGCAAAGTCAATCCTGGTATATGGGCCTCTGGGGGTACTGGTCTTGATATGCTCCGCGGCGTCAAAGAAATAATTATCCTCCTCCATGGTAAGATGCTATAGATCCAGGTAATGTATCGATTGCCCTCGTTGACTTGAAACTAATAAAATTAGCATAAGGACCTTGTGCGTTAAATCCTTTAGAGACAGTTTTTCATTGGGGTATAAAGAAGATAAATGTTTTAAAACAAATGAAACATACCAAATTTTGTCATATTTAGGTTTGTGTCTACGCGATTCAAATACCCCTTTCATAAACCGTGTAACGATATGATTGCTATCAAAGCTTCCCCCCCCCCCCTTCTATCGTAACAATGGTAGACAAGGCAGAGCGAGCAGTATTAAGGGTTGAGTAGCTAAGCTACCGGCCCTCCAGGTTTGGGGGTTTTGCATAGGGCTAACGACCCTATCATGTAAAAAGCTTCTGTTACGGAAACAGCAACGTGTAACTTACAAGAATCATCTGTGCAGAAAGAGCCTCCGGAATCCATGTCATGGGCAACAGTGAATGCCGAGAGTGAAAACACCAGAAACTCTGCAGGTAATTGGATTCGAATGACTGACAGTGGCCAAAGCCGAAAGGAAGCCGCTGTCATGATAACGGGAGCCGTCAGCGCAAAAACAACTACACTGATTGGCTTTTGGAATGTGCGAACAATGTATGAGCAAGGTAGGGTGGCGCAGGTCATTGCTGAAATGAAGCGTTACAAACTTGATATCTTAGGCGTAAGTGAGAGTAGATGGACAAAATCTGGGAGAATGAAGACAACAACAGGAGAGACAGTTCTCTACTCTGGGAGAGAGGATGATTTACATCATGAGGGGGTTGCAATCATTATGAAGAAAGGGATGGAAAAGTACTTAATGGAGTGGAAACCAGTAAACAGCAGGATTATTCAAGCACGATTAAAGGGCAGGCAGACTAACTTATCCATCATACAGTGCTATGCACCTACAAATGACAGCAACGACAGAGATAAAGAGACCTTCTATGAGCAGCTGCAAGCAACATTTGAGAACGTCCATTGTAGAGACCTCCTGCTGGTGATGGGTGATCTTAACGCCAAGGTGGGCTCAGACAACTTGAATTTTGAAAGAGTCATGGGAAGAGAAGGATGTGGAGTGCAGAATGACAATGGAGAGAGGCTGATAGAATGGTGTGCATTTAATAACATGATCATCGGTGGAAGCTTATTCCCGCATCGCAACATTCACAAACTCACTTGGACGTCCCCAAATGGGCGGGATCAAAACCAAATAGACCACCTAATGGTTAACAGCATGTGGCGCCGCTCCCTGCTTGACGTAAGAGTAAGAAGAGGGGCTTATGCAAGCAGCGATCACCATCTTGTGACTGCAAAGGTGAGATTGAAACTGAGAGCAGCTGGACCAAACAAACAACGCACTCCTAGATATGACATCAGCAAATTACAAGACCAAAGGACTAAGAATGCTTTTGTCCTACAGCTGAGAAACAGGTTCCAAGCCTTGAGTAACATAGACGAGCAAAGCATTGATGAAGAGGAAGACACTGTAAATCAAAAGTGGAAGCAAGTGAAGAACATATTTGATGAAGCAAGTAAAACCTGTCTGGGGATGCAAAAGACGAGAAAGAAGAAAGAATGGATTACACCAGACACGTGGCAGGTTATCGAGGAGAGACGCCAGCTGAAGAAGAAGATAAATGACAGCAAATCAGCCAGACTTCGAGAGAAGTATAGAGCGGCTTACACAGAAACCAACAGGCGTGTCAAAAGAAAGATCAGAACAGATAAGAGAGTGTATATGGAAGATCTAGCAAAAGAAGCAGAGGAAGCGGCACAAAAGGGAGAGCAGAGAAATGTCTATAAAGTCACTAAACTGATCTGTGGAAAATATAATGGCAATAGAAATGTCCCCATACGAGATAAACAAGGACAGCTCCTCACCTCTGAAAAAGACCAAGAAGCACGTTGGGTAGAGCATTTCAATGAAGTCCTCAACAGACCACCACCAGAAGAGGAGCCTGATATACCAGAAGCTGAGGAGGACTTAAGTGTTGACACCAGACCACCAAAGAAAGAAGAGATCATTGCAGCCATTAATTCTCTAAAAAACCACAAGGCACCTGGCAAAGACCGCCTCAATGCTGAACTGTTCAAGGCAGACGCTGTGACTACGGCAAGCATATTGCAGCCACTTTTCAACACCATATGGGACAGAAGGAAAATTCCTGACGATTGGAATAAGGGTGTCATCATCAAGATACCAAAGAAAGGAGCTCTGTCTGACTGTAACAACTGGCGTGGCATTACACTATTATCCACCCCTAGCAAGATCTTAACGAAGGTCATCATGAAGCGCTTATCACTGGCTGTGGACCATAGACTTCGTGAAGAACAGGCAGGTTTCAGGAGAGGAAGGGGCTGTATTGATCATATTTTCACACTGAGAAATATTATTGAACAGAGTACCGAATGGCAGCGAACTCTCTATATCAACTTTGTAGATTTCGCCAAGGCCTTTGACAGTGTGCACCGGCACAGCCTCTGGAAGTTATTACGAGCATATGGAATCCCCTTCCACCTTGTTGAGATCATCAAAAGCTTCTATGACAACTTTACCTGCTGTGTTGGTGATGGTGACATCTTATTTGAAGTTCACACTGGTGTCAGGCAGGGGTGTGTAATGTCTACATTTCTTTTCAACCTTGTTGTGGACTGGATCATGCACCGCACCACTGAGGATCAGGTCAGGGGAATCAGATGGACACCTTTCTCCTACCTGGAAGACCTGGACTACGCAGACGATCTAGCCTTACTATCACACACCCACACCCACATACAAGAGAAGACGCATCGCCTCAACACCTTTGCAAAGCAAGTTGGCCTGAACATCAGCAGCAAGAAGACTGAAATTATGGCACTGAACGCTACCAACACACGAACAGTCCAGATTGATAACGAAGAGCTTCCTTACACAGACAGATTTACCTACCTCGGCAGTATCATCAGTAGAGATGGAGGAACTGACCTGGACATCCAGAGCCGTCTCAACAAGGCCAGAAATTCGCTCAATATGATGAATAAGGTATGGCGTTCTTCCACCTATAGTACTCGTACCAAGCTGAAGCTCTATCATAGCTGCGTCCTTACAACCCTCCTGTATGGCTCAGAATGTTGGCGCTTAACTGAGAAGGATCTATCAAAACTCTCCACTTTTCACACCAAAAGCCTTCGGCGTATTTTACGCATCTTTTGGCCTAATGTCATTTCCAACAAAGATCTTTTTGAACGGTGTGGAACCGAATCAATGGCTACCATTCTGATGAGGAGACGCTGGAGGTGGATTGGCCATGTCACCCGCCAAGAAGCTTCCATTGCAAAAACTGCTATGCATTGGACGCCAGAAGGGAAACGCAAGCGGGGTCGCCCCAAGATCACATGGCGACGGACAGTTGAGAAGGAAATAAAGGAGATGGGGAAGAACCTGGGAGGGCATCAAGTTCATGGCAAGGGATCGCCAGATGTGGAGGGAACACGTCGCTGCCCTACATGCCTGTTAGGCGTAAAGGGCATGATGATGATGATGAGCTAAGCCCTTGACGAAATAGCCCCGAGAGAAATTGAAGGGCATCGCTCGGTGGTGGTGTATACTAATTAATTTCCCTTTAACGACAAAATGCCATCCATTTTTTAACGTATGTGGCATATTGTTTTTAGTGCCTGTCCTCCAAGATGCCATGAGAATGTCGGCAACCTCCTCTGGAAAGTTGTAACGGCTGAAGGATCTCCTAACACAGGACATACCATCAGATGAAGACTCCTGTGTAGTGGATGCGGGCCACGGCGAGAGGGGTGTTGTAGAAGGTCTGGTAGTGGGAGCAGAATCCAGGGCTGTTCGCACAAATGTTGTAGGAGGACTGCAAACCACGTTTGGGTTGGCCAAAGCGGGGCGATTAGTACACCCTGTGCTCGGTCTTGACTCATCTTCTGAAGGCATCTTGGGAGAAGGCTAAAAGGCGGAAAGCATAAAATTTATGCCCATTCCAATTCATAGTAAATGCGTCTACGTGTGGACTGTTGGGGTCTGCTTGCCACGGGCAGTAACTACTGATCTGATAGTTTAAGGGGCTTGCAAACAAGTCGAAATCGAGGCCGGGGTGGTGCAACAGGATCTCGTCCAACGAGTGTGTTTTTAATATCCACTCATGATTATCTGAGAACACGCGTGATTTCTCATCAGCCCCAGTGTTCAGCCGACCGGGTATGTGGACAGCTGTGAGCCAAATATTTCGTGATATACACCATTCCCAAATTTGAACGGCTAACTGATTAAGTTCTTTGGATTTTGAGCCCCCCATGTTGTTAATGTAAGCGAGGGCTGTGGTATTGTCGATCTGAATTCGGATGTGGCAGTTGTTCATATGGCTAAAAAAACACTTTAACGCAAAAAAAGACTGCAAGTAATTCCAATATATTTAGATGGTATTCGGCTTCCGAAGGGGTACATCTCCCCCCCCCCCCGTTTTTTGAGTGCCAAAACAGCTCCCCAGCTCAATGTTGATGCCTCTGACTGAATTGAAGTGCTGGGGTGGACGTGTTGGATATCTCGTTTGAGAGTTTGGGCATTATCACGCCACCACTGAAGTTCCGCTAAAGCGGGAGGGGATAATTGCATTTCCCCCCGTAATCGCCCTTGTTTGCTACGAGTGCGAGATATTTATCCCGCTCAAGATGGCGGTAGTGAAATGGTCCGTACTGAGCATCGGGAAAATTGGACACGAGGATACCGATGACCTCTGCGACCTGTCTAATTGTGGGCATTTGTGTTTTTAATAGCGAAGCGCAGACAGACAGAATCCGTTGAACTTTTTCCCCCCTAAGCATAACAATAATAGCAATAGAATCCAGTACAAACCCTAAGAAAGTTAATTTCTGAGAGGGTATGAAAACCGATTTCTCTGGATGGATATGAAACCCTAATTTGGTAAACAGCGTGATGGGGTCAGTGACATTTTTATGACATTCCGCGGAGGTGTCGCCTTGTAGATAAGAATCGTTAACATACCCTGAATTGAGATGTCCCATGTTCCGGAGTGTGGCATACACAGGTTTCCATAGTTTAGTAAATATGCGCGGGGCACTGGCTCGGCCATTAGGCAAACAGGTATATTTGTAGAGAGCACCGTCAAACTAGAACTTTACTTGGTGAGACGCGTGGATAGGAACGGTATAATACGCGCCCTTTAAGTCCACCGAAGCCATAAAACAACCTGGTCTCATCATGTTTACAGCGGCCTCTAGAGTATCCATTTTAAAATGATGGTGAGCTATAAATTCGTTAAACGCTGTAAGATTAAGAATGGTACGGTGCGTGCCATCTTTTTTCGGTCGTAAAAATATTGTGGAAATAAATTCCTCTGTTTCCTGTGCCGCCGGAATAATGACCCCTTTAGCGAGAAGTTTATCAATTTCAGCCTTGACAATTGAATGTTGGTGACTGTTGATAACTCCAGTAACAATCTGAAGAATAGTAGGGTCAGCCGCTATCGCTTCCCACTGCGGCAAAAAATGTTTGAGCTTTCCCGCTTGAAAACTTGTTTGTGATTTTACCAAGCTATGTACAATGTCAATAGGCAAGGTTGTCATGTTTGCATTACATACCTCAGGCACCTTCATTGTCGCTGGCTCGTTTCGCCGTCCTTTTTCTTTCTCGGCGGCTTTGAGAAGCGGCTTTTGCCAAAAAAATCAGAGGATTTTCCTCTAGAGCAAGGCTGGAATCTGCGCTGGCTCGAGCCATATGTTGAGCGCCCAGCGTACTTATCCCCACGGGAAGTCCCGGAATGTTGGGGGCGAACCTTTTTCGTCAACTTATTGGCCTCTGTGATATCCTTCGCGAGCTTTGACAAATCTCCAAACAGGTACTCTGAGGTGCCATCAACAGTGGACAGGTTGCATAAAGCTGCATAGTCTTCATGCATCTCTCTCTTCATGGCCAGGCGTCAGGAGTGATTCACCTCGTGGTTGTATTTGAGGGCCATGGCAACCGCATCTGTCAGAAAGGTGATCAGTACTTTGTCGTTGCTGTATTTTCCCAGCGCCAAATCGGCGGCTTTTGTCATGGCTGAAATAGCGCCGATAAGAGTATTTTGCCCCTTCTTCGATCTTACATCTTGAGTTTTCATGGAAGTCGAAAGCTGGCTCCAGATTGAGGGATTCACTCTCGGGGTTCGCAAACCCTTGACATTCTCTGGACGAGGATATTTGTCTAGTTTGGCCTTGAGCTTCTCGTCCCCCATCTTTTCTGACAACAGATTATTAAAAATAGCCGCCAGACCTTCGCGAAGGGGCGGAGAGGTTTTCTCGCTTACTGCTAATTCCTGCGCGAGTTCCTTCAAGAGATCTTCGCCCGGCATAGCCTCAGTATTATCATCTTTGCCCGCAGAAACGAGGAGCGCGGATAAATCCGCATCCATGTCCGCAGACATGGCGAGCCTGTCATTAGAGGCGGCTTCACCGTCCTCCTCAGAGTCTTCGTGCTCGTTCAGGAGCACTGCGCTCACATTCTCGTTCAAGGTCGTCAGCTGGCTCAGAACTGGAGCCAAGGCAGCTTTGAAGATATCCGCGAAAACGTTTGCTGAAGGCATATTCTGGGCGCCACTGTCCGTTGACGTTCCTGGTCGCTCGTTAGTTGTGTTGTCTTCGTGATCGGACATAATCACAATGAATATGGGCACCCAACTACGTTAGGGCCTTGGCTGGACTACAATTGAGGTTAACTACGTTAGCTTCTCCAGCAACTTGTGTCTAGAAAGGTTTTTAGCGTAGAAAAAACGTCAAAAACCAAGCTCCAAGAATTTGCATGACGTACCGCGTTAAGCGCAAATCGTGCAATGACTTGCGCAAGCGCCGTGCTGTCTCATGCAGTTCGGGCCATAACCATTTCTGGATATCGGTTTCGAGCTTTGCGATTGGGTGAGATCAAAACCAAAACAAAGCAAATTTGGCCGAGAGGTAATGGAAACAAGAAGAAGCTAATTTTTTTTTTTTTTTTTGTGGCGGCCACGTTGTAATGCGGTAGTAAGGCAGTAAGTTGAAACAAAATTCGCTAATAAGGACTGGACGTAAGGTACCATTAAAAATATTCGTTTATTTCAAACATTCAACATGCATGTCCTCGACATTCTCGCATTCTGGAAGAGTAAAGCGGATTCTTTCTAGCACAAATTCTTTGTAACGCTGTGGTCCTTCCACCAAGAGCGTCACAAGAATAAAAGCTCCTCCGCCAGCCTGTTTGTATCTGGAGAACTTCTGGATAAAGCTTGACCTCGATGTTACTGTCCGTTCTCCGTTGATTTCCCTATTTTGGGTTACAAGAAAACCAATTAAATAAATTAAAACCAAATAACGCGCACTGATAACAATTGGGACGAGTGAGGTGTGAGATCGCGGAATCGGGACAATTTCATTTCTCTCCAGTAAAGGTCGAGGAAAGACAATATCTTGCTTCTTTCCGATTTTTAAATAGACATTATCAATTTCAGTCCAGCAAGCCTTTACGAAAAAGTAACAGTAAAGCAAGAAAACAGTAACTCACCCTTCAATTCCTGGTTATTTTGCCACATCGAAGCAAAGCATGCAGCTGTATGTTTAGAAAGTGCTGAACTGTGCCGATCTGCTGCCCTTTGACATCTCCTAAAGTGTATGTCTTTCTCTGCGATTTGCTGAAAATCTGGACTTCTCGTAGAGCCTCAGGAATGCGTTCCATTTCTCGTGGAAGAAGACAAGCCAGTGCATGCGAGTCATACGTGTCGTCGTCTTCACTTTGAATAACAAGCGGTGTTCCACGTGGAGTTTTGATCTTGAAATTATGATACCTGGAAAATAAACGCCAATAAAAACATGAGTGGGATAAAATAAAATCAAGTAGTCACAATCTATATTAAGACGAATGCACATGATCGAATTCAATGCAAGAGAATCATACAATGTATTTTGCGCGCTATTGATCGATTCGCGGGAGAATCTAGGTCTCAGAACACTACAAATTCGGTCCTACAGCTTTTAGTCAGCAATAATATGTCCTCTACAATTACCCTTTGATTTGAACACCCTGTATAGAAAGTTTGTTTAGGTAATCACTGCAAAATGTGAAAGCACGAGCGGTGTTTCTAAACGAGTTTCACAATTACAGACAAGTCCCTTGTGGTTTTAGACGAAAATTTCACTCTCATCAGTTCGTGTAGTTAAACTCTAACCTTTGTTTCCGGAATGCTGTAATAGAGACACTTCGGCAAGGCTTTCCACCAATGTGGTTTCTTTATTTTCATCTTCATGCCGCTCTTATCGCACATTTCCCGGATACGATACCTAAAGATGTGAGAGCTCAGTGAACGAATACCTCTTTGTTTTATGTTTGCCCGAAGGAGAACTTACTCGCTGGATAATCACATTTATGTGTTAGATCCATGGTTTCCTGAAATTATTTTTTAGTGTGAATTCGCCTTGGCTGAATGAATCTCTCTGATGTCAAGATCGACATTGATTCGAAATTTCATCCAGAGCTCCGATTTAAAAGATTCTTTGTTTGTAGTACTGACCCAGGTCCGTGGCAGATTTGTGCCACAAAGACGACAAAGTGTCTCGAGATACTGAATGTGTTCATCCATGCTGTTGGCTTGATCTGAAATTCACAATGTAGGATTATAAAGGTCCAATAAATAATTGTCCTTTTACTTTAAATTGGTCGGCCACAACGTATGGTTAAAATTTATGGTTTACACGATACTCCGATGGATCTGAACAAAGGAATCCGTCTGGTAGTTTGCACACTAACAGACTTTCAACATTCGTGCACTCGAGCAAAAACCTCGTGCACTCGATTGGAATTTTGACAAATTGGAAGCAAATTTATTCTAGTTTTTTAAAAGATTTTTTTTAGGAATCAAAAAAAATGTTGCATACCTGAAAACCTCAACTAAATAGAGGTTATTCCTCGATCGAGCCCTTCGCAACATGGACCTCCACCCGACTTTTCATCTGAATTTTTCCTTCACGTCATCGCGATCACCATCAGTTCTTTGCTTGTTGTGTGTAATTGCTTGTCTTCTGTAATTTTGCAAGGTTTCATGGGATATGGGTAGGGAACTAAGTCGCTAGGGCTCGAATAAAGTAATGAGTGAGTTTCCTCGATGTCCCACTACGACATCCATGTTGGTGACGTCATCAAGTATCCAGAAATGGTTATGGCCCGGACTGTCATGGGATCTCTGCCTTCTGGTCATGTGATGGAATTTAATGTTAACAACTGGGCTGAAAACGTAAATTAGCCTCCGTAAAGAGTAAAAAAGCTGACGTTTCGAGCGTTAGCCCTTGGTCAGAGCGATTGGAGGAATTTTGGGTTGTGTGTGGGTTTATATGCAGAAAGTGGAGCTACGCCATTGGTGGGAATATGGTCACGAGAAAACAGGAACAAATTAGTTGAATGAAAAGCGCTCAATGATTCCGTGGGGATTAAGGGTGCCGATTTGGAAGATAAATTTTTGTTCTAGTGTTTTACGGCTTTCCGAACCGCCTAGATGTAAGGAAAGGCCGCAAACTGCCATATGCTGTCTAGCGACAGGTTTGGATGCGTCCTTATCATTTCTTTCCACGTCGCGAAGGTGTTCTCGGAATCGTTCACCAAGTCGTCTTCCTGTTTCGCCGATGTATAACTTACTGCAATAAGTGCAGGTTATGCAGTAAATAACATTGGCGGAGGTACACGTAAAGTGAACAATGATCTTAATGCATCTCTTGGGTCCCAATATTTTCTCTACGTTATGAATGAAAGGACAAGTTTTGCATCGTGAGCGGGCACATTTAAAAGTTCCAGATTGGTCATTGGTTTGAAATGAACTCCTGACTAAAAAGTTGCCTATGTTTTTGTCACATTTGATTGAAATAAGTGGGGATTGCGAAAAGATAGTGCCAGTCTCTGAATCGTTTTGGACTTATCAGGTAGAAGTTGTTAGTTTGATTTAACACGAAATTCTCCTAACAACTTTACAAAAAATGTGTAACCAAAGGGGAGGGGAGAATTAACAATGAGATCTTGGGAGTTAAAGGATTGAATTAGGCTGAATTAGGTTTGCATGGATGCTGACTCTAAAAATAATGTTTATGCCTTTGTTTTGTGATGCGCATAAAGACATACATGTCCAATACATACAAATTGCTACGACTCGTCTACGGTCGTTGACGAATGGAAACACCGGAAGTCGAATCGTGCGGAAGTGGAGATAAGCAATCTGTGAAAATGAGTAGCATGGTATACCGGATGTCGTATCTTGGGTTAACATACCGGCAGTCGAGGGGCGTTAGCAATGTGTGAAAATGAGTAGCATGAAAAGAGAAAACGACAACATGAACCTTCCACGTTCTTAAAGCGTAAAATGGCCATATTTCCATCGTCAGAATATTATAAATATGAAAAAGAACCTTATTCCTTCCTACACACAGGATGAAATGACTAAATTAAGTTTCCTTAAAGGTAACTTAAAGGTTAACATTAGAAGTATTTAAGACATCTTTAGGTGACATACGAAAGTTCTGAAATGAATCTTTAATTGAACTTTCAGAAGTCAATTAAAGTCTCCTTATGAACCATTTCATGAACACTTTAGGATCAAATGAAAGTAAACCTAAATAACCATTTAATTGACTTTAAGAATCCTCCTAATTCTCGTAAACTCGTCTTTAATTGCCAAAACTTCTACTTGTAAAGGCAACTTAAAGGTTTCTTTAATCTTTTGTTTCCCTTTAAGTACTACTTAAAGTTGCAGGTTTTGTTGTAATTCATCTTTAGTTGTACTTTCAGGTCCTCTTAAATTTCAAGTTTTGTTAAAATTCATCATTTAGTGACCTTTAAGTGCCTCTAAAAGCTGTACGTTTCACCTTAAATTGACTTTTGATTTGCTTAATCACACCCACATTTATATTATGATAACTTATAATATTTTGGGAAACTTCTAAATTGTTAGAAAAAGAGACATCACACATACAAGTAATTACAGAATGTTTGAAATTGCAGTGATGAAATAGTTTTGTTCAAAACTCACTTCCTCCCCTGAGATAGAGTAAACCCACAATAAAGCTGAGGATATCTCATTTGAGGCACATACATAAGTAAAAAAGAGACATCCAAATGTTTGAATTACTAATTGTCATACTTTATTAAGATTGTTTCTCTTTCATTAATGTATAATTCATATAATCTCAGTCATCTATATAGAATAGAATATAATAGAATCTTTATCACTATAGAAATATAAGAACTACAGAATATAACTAGCTGTAGCAACACACTACACAAAAAGCTATTAATTCACAAATTTCACTCTCAAATCCAGCCACTAAGAAATGCAATTTGAACTGATACTAACAATAAAAAATAAGTTCAACCTATCAATCTAAAAAATCAGTATATTTTTCTAAATCAATTTAAATTTGCGATAGCTATCAATTATTTGCCAACCTGTACATCAATATGGAAAAAAGTATCTCATATGGAGGAAATTAAATATAAAATTGAAGAATTCACAATTACTTACTTTAGATAATGAGACCATTAAAATTGCTAATTAACATATTCAATGAAAAAGAAGTCTCATGCAGGCATGTAAAAGACCTTCATTCTAGACATGGCTGATTAATACTTTATGATCTGGATATATTA